GAAAAACTTCCAATTTATTCTATGAAGCCAGTACCAACCTGATACCAAAACCAGTAAAGTCACTACCAAAAAAGAGAACTACAGGCCAAGATCTCTCATGAATATAGATGCAAAATCCTCAACAAAATACCAGCAAACCGAATCCAACAATATATTAAAAAAAAAAAAAATCATACACCATGATCAAGTCGGATTTATTCCTGGGATGCAAGGATGATTCAATGTCCACAAAACAATCAAAATGATACATCACATCAATAAGATAAACGATAAAAACTATATGATCATTTCAACAGATGCAGAAAAAGCATCTGACAAAGTACAACATCCATTCATGATAAAAACCCTCAACAAAGTAGGTCTAGAGGGAACATACCTCACATAATAAAGGCCTTATATGAAAAACCCACAGCCACCATCTTGGGGGAAAAACTGAGGGCTTTTCCCCTAAGGTCAGGAACGAGACAGGGGTGCCTACTATCACCCCTTTTATTCAACGTAGTACTAGAAGTCCTAGCCACAGCAATCAGACAACATAAAGAAACAAAAGGCATCCAAATTGGTAAGGAAGAAGTAAAACTTTAATTATTTGCAGATGAGATGATAGTATATATAGAAAACCCTAAAGACTCCACCACAAAACTACTAAACTGATAAATGAATTGAGTAAAGTCGTAGGATACAAAATCAATGTTCAGAAATCTATTGCATTCCTATACGCTAATAGTAAAGCAACAGAAATTAAGAAAACAATCCCATTTACAACTGCACCAAAATCGGGCGCCTGGGTGGCTCAGTCGTTAAGCGTCTGCCTTCGGCTCAGGTCATGATCCCAGAGTCCTGGGATCGAGCCCCGCATCGGGCTCCCTGCTTCGCGGGAAGCCTGCTTCTCCCTCTCCCACTCCCCCTGCTTGTGTTCCCTCTCTTGCTGTGTCTCTCTCTGTCGGATAAATATAAAATCTTAAAAAAAAAAACAAAACTGCACCAAAACCAATAAAATACCTTGGAATAAACCTAACCAAAGACGTCAAAGACCTGTACTCTAAAAACAATAAAACACTGATGAAATTCAAGACGACACAAAGAAATGGAAAGACATTCCATGCTTAAGAACAAATATTGTTAAAATGTCCAAACTACCTAAAGCAATTTATATATTTAATGCAATTCCTATCAAAATATCAACAGTATTTTTCACAGAACTAGAACAAATAATCCTAAAATTTGTACAGAACCACAAAGACCCTAAATAGCCAAAGCAATCTTGAAAAAAAACAAAACTGAGGGTATCACACAATTCCAGATTTTTTTCTTTTTTAATGATTTTATTTATTTGACAGAGAGAGTGAGAGAGAGAGAGAGTGAGAGAGCGCAGAAGCAGAGGGAGGGGCAGTGGAGGGGGAGAGGGAGAAGCAGACTTCCCACTGAGCAGGGAGGCTGCTGCCGGGCTTGATTCCGGGCTTGATTTCAGGACTCCAGGATCAAGACTTGAGCCAAAGGAAAATGCTTAACCGACTGAGCCACCCAGGCGCCCCCAGATTTCAAATTATATTACAAAGCTGCAGTAAAAAAGTATGGTACTTGGCATAAAAATAGACACAAAGATCAATGGAATAGAACACAAAACCCAGAAATAAACCCACAATATATGGTCAATTAGTATTCGACAAAGGAGAAACGAATGCCCAAGGGGAAAAAGTCTCTTCTATGAATGGTGTTGGAAAAACTGGACAACCACATGCAAAGAAGGAAACTGAACCACTTTCTATCACCATACACAAAAATAATCTCAAACGGAATAAAGACCTACATGTGAGACTTGAAACCATAAAAATCCTAGAAGAGAATACAGGAGGTAATTTCTCTAACACCAGTTTTAGCAATATCCTTCCAGATATGTCTCCTGAGGAAAGGGAAATAAAAGCAATAATAAACTATTGGGACTACATTGAAATAGAAAGTTTCTGTACAGCAATGGAAACAAAACTAAAAGACAACCTACTGAATGGGAGAAGATATTTGTAAATGATATATCCAATAAAGGGTCGGTATCCAAAATATATATAAGAACTGATACAACACCCAAAAAACAAATAATCCAATTAAAAGATGGGCAGAAGACGTGAACAGATATTTCTCCAAAGACGACATACAGATGACCAACAGACACATAAAAAGATGCTCAAAATCACTCTTCATCAGGGAAATGCAAATCCCAACCACAATGAGCTATTGCCTCACATCTGTCAGAATGGCTGAACTCACAAACGTAAGAAACAAGTGTTGGCAAAGATGTGGAAAAAAAGGAACACTCTTACAATGTTGGTGGAAATGCAAACTGGTGCAGCCACTGTGGAAAACGGGAGGGAGGTTCCTTAAAAAGTTAAAAACAGAACTAACAACCCAGTAATCACACTACTGGGTATTTACCCCCAAAATACAAAAACACTAACTGAAAGGGATACATGCACCCCTATGTTTATTGCAGTGTTATTTACAACAGCCAAGATATGGAAGCAGCCCAAGTGTCCATGATAGATGAATGGATAAAGATGTGGTGTACACACACACTGGAATATTATTTAGCCATAAAAAACAATAATCTTGACATTTGCAACAACATGGATAAAGCTCAAGTGCAGGGGACCTGGGTGGCTCAGTCAGTTAAGCATCCGATTCTTGATCTAAGCTTAGGTCTTGATCTCAGGGTCATGAGTTCAAGCCCCACATCGGGCTCCGTGCTGGGCATGGAGTCTATTGGGGGGGGGGGGGGAAAAAAAAAAAAACCAGACTCTTAAGTATAAAGTATATAACTGATGGTTAAGAGAGGGGAGGTGGGTGGAGGGTTGGGGAAATAGGGGATTAGTATACAGAGTACACTTATCATGATGAAAAAACTAAAGAAAAGAAAAACAAAAACAAAAAGATACCTGCACCCACAAATTCACTGTAGCATTAACAATAGCCAAGATATGGAAGCAATCTAAGAGTCCATTTATAAATGAATGGATAAAGAAGATGCAATACATATACACATACACACATATGAATACTACTCAGCCACAAAGATAATGAGATCTTGCCACCTGAACAACACAGATGGAAGTAGAGGGTAGCAAGCTAAGTGAAATATAAAACAAAAAGCAGAAGCAAACCCATAAATACAATGAGAACTGATGGTTGCCAGAGGACAGGAAGATGGGGGGGTGGGCATATAAGTAAAGGGGAGAGGGAGACTTCTAGTTATGGAATGAATAAGTGACAGTGATAAAAGGTACAGCATACAGAATACAATTGATGGCATTGTAATAGCGTTGTATGTCAGGTGGTGAGCACAGTAAAATGCACAGAGTTGTCATAGAGACAGAGTTGTTATAGAGACAAACCTTGAGGACAGAGGGAAATAATGTGGAGTTATTATTAATGGGTTTAGTTTGGGTTAAGCAGTATAAAAAAGTTTTAAAGATTGGTTGCCAACAGCATAAATATACATAACACTACTTAAACGTGCACTTAGAAATGGTTAATATGGTAAATGTAATGTTAAGTGTTTTTTTAGCACAATTAAAAAAGGTAACTTGAACGTTGCTTGTGCCACCTCATCTGGACCCTTGCTTCAGGGATACAAACTAGGGATGTGAGGGAAGAATTAAGATCATATTTGTGTCACAAAAGAGGAAGCATAATAATGTTCCATGTTTTGCTGTTACAGCCCTATTTACATAGCAGTAATTCTATGAGAAACATGTGTTCATCCATTTTGGAAACTATCATCATGAATATTCTAATCCTGGGTGTTCTTTTCCTCTGATAAACACTGTTAAGTCTCAACCAATTTCAAGGGTCTAGAGAAATGGTTGTCAATATAATGCATTTCAAAATTTCTGTGGAACTTTTGAAAAGATACTCATTTCCACTTCTGGTAATAGGGACCTCATGACCTTGAAATTTCAAATTTCAAAACAAACTATTTTACCAGAGATAAAGGCATTTCATAATGATAAAAAAAAAAGTGGATTCATCAGAGAAACATAACAATTATAAATGTGTATGAGATAAATACAGACTCTCAAAATACATGATAGAAAAATACAGACACCCAGGCCACACCACATGCTCGCTGAATCTTAATTTCCAGAGTAGTGCTAAGGCACTGTCATTTAAAAAACAAATAATACAAACAAAAAAACTACATGGGGATTCAAATGTGCACAACTGGTCAAAAACCACGGTTTTTGACATATTATAATTAAAAAATCAATACTTAGGTAAATACTACTACTACTACTGTGGGTTGGATTTACAAAATCCTTTCTTCTGCATGAGAATCTGACCTTTGGTTAACTTTCTGGTTCTTTTCTTCTAGAAGCCAGAGAACACAGTATGTCAACTATGTTGCTAGGCAACATTATATAGAAAAAATAATTTGTGATTGGTAAGCTACATCTGAACTGGGAAGAGCTTTATGTGAACTATAAATACCTGATGGAGATACACAGTTTTAGGCTTCCCTGAGTGGGGTATGGCATATCCTTTATGGTAAACCAGGAAGATAGCCCATGGAGTTATAACAAGAGGTAGGTATTCATTCCTAAGGGACATGAGGATTGTAAGCCAGAGTGGCTCCTGTGAATCTTGTTAAACTATCACTTTTGGGTAGCCAAAGAAGATAGCTCCCAGAAGCTATGCGGACTGTTTTAAGAAGTGCAGAAACAAACACCTATTACTGGTGTGCTGGGAAGCTATGGTTCCTGTCCTAATTACCTTCTGAGTAGACCAGGGTGAACTGTGGCCCAAGACAGTCCTGTGAATCTGAATGTTTAGTTGAACCTAAGAAGACTCTTTAGTGGATATTGCAACTACCTTATCTTTGTGTTGTGGTTTAGACATCAGTGCTTCCGTGTCATACTCAAGATCTCTAGGTTGACTTCTTAATCAAAATATTTTCCAATGATGCTTTTTGCTAATGGGGGTTGGGGAGAAGAGGAATCCATTCTAACCTCCTAGTGATCTTGTGTATCCAGAATAGTACAATATTCTTTCTGTGGTGGTAGTTTTGCCTGCATCAATATGAGCCATAATTCCAATATTACGGATTCTGTTTAAAAGGTAGGGGAAAAAAAAAGCACGTATTACAAGATGGACATTAATAAAAATGTAAAACCAAAATATGTACACTTTGCAAATTTCAAATCTGGTTAGTATTTCAATAATTTTTATGTTATAAAAACTAGAAAAACAGAAAACATTTCCTTACCACATTATTCTGACAAAATAGCTAACAGAAGGGCGAACTACAATCTTATGAATCTTTTACTCATTTCTATATACTGTTGCTACACTAAAAACATTTAGTACTGAATTCAGGAAAAAAATAGCTTTTAAGATACATACCAACATCTATTTAAAATTAGCTAGGGCAGAAAGCTAAATTAACAATGCTAAATTAAGTCCATGACAGAAACTCTTAACTTTTTATAGCAGCATATGGAAAAGAGTGCATCAGCGATAGTACTTACTTAGCTATGGGAGGACTGATGATGGAATGAAGGGATTTGATATCATTTCCAACTAAACCTAATGGAAAGAGGGTTACAATTTAGAAGTTTAAGAAATTTTCCTTTAATTTGCAAATCAAAAAGTTAAAGTAATTTTAAGCAAATACCATAATTCCAATTAAAGTAAAAATCCAAGCTAAATATAAACTCATTTACCTAAAAATTATTTTCCTGCAATCTGTAAAGAAAAGGCAATAGATAATGTAAGATCAAGTTTTCTGTTTTGGTTTTTTTTTTTTTTTCTGGTTTTTTGGGATTTTTTTTTTTAAAGATTTTATTTATTTATTTGACAGAAAGAGACACAGCAAGAGAAGGAATACAAGCAGGGGGAGTGGGAGAGGGAGAAGCAGGCTTCCCGCTGAGCAGGGAGCCCAATGCGGGGCTCGATCTCATGACCTGAGCCAAAGGCAGATGCTTAACGACTGAGCCACCCAGGCGCCCCTCTGTTTTTGTTTTTTAAAGATTTTATTTATCTTTTTGACAGCACAAGCAGGCACAGACAGAGGGAGAAGCAGGCTCCCCACTGAGCAGAGAGCCCGATGCAGGACTCGATCTCAGGACCCCAGGATCATGACCTGAACTGAAGGCAGACGCTCAAGCAACTGAGCCACCCAGGCACCCCTAAGATAAAGTTCTGAAACATCAATTTCTAGATCATATCCTTAGAAAAATATAAATTTACCCCCGTCTTTGCCACTTTCTATAATTTTGTAATAGACATAATAAATAGAATTGTAGAATTAGAATGTTCATAACAATAATCTTACGGCCACAGCATTTAAATCAAAGAAAAATAAAATGCACAGTCCTGTAAACCTGCATTGTCAAGGCTTAAAGAGTGAAGAGTGATCCTCATATCAGAAAATAACTAATTTTCGTACAATTTGAAATCTATCCTCCCTCAGTAATCCCAAGCACAAAGTACCTTTAAAGATGGCCTAGGAGGTATCACTGAACAGGAGCTATAATAATCTAATAACTTCTAAAAGGCCAAGTAGTATTTCTGGAATACAAAAAGCCCATAATATTTTACTCTGTGCTTATGATGTATTTTATTAATAATATTAAAGCAAAAATGCAGTTACATTTATAATTTTAATCTATACCTTCCTACTATTTAAATCAGTTTTACAAAATTCCTCTAATAAATTAAGAACAGTTCTACTGTATTTTGAAAACCTGATGGCAGTTTTAAGACTTACAGATGATCTATATGGCTACAGATAAATTTGCATGACAAAATGCAGAAATATAGATATAAATCAATAATGCAGGGCATTAAATTCACATGCCATTACAAGTCACACAGCCTGTCAGTATTTTTACTCCATGATTCTCACATGACGAAGATAATAGTGAGAACAGCCACCTAATGAAACCAGTTTCAAAGAGTCTCCCATATGCTTGCTTACTTCAAACAAAGGAAGAACATTCAGAATGCGTCAGTTCTTCAAGCATCAAGCTTTTTTTAAGATTTTATTTATTTGACAGAGAGAGCACAAGCAGGGGGAGCAGCGGGCAGAGCGAGAGGGAGAAGTAGACTCCCCACTGAGCAGGGAGCCCGATGTGGGGCTCGATCCCAGGACCCCAGGATCATGACCCGAGCGGAAGGCAGATGCTTAACTGACTGAGCCACCCAAGTGCCCTAAGCATCAAACTTTTTTTTTTTAGCATCAAGCTTTTAATAGCCATTTTACCTAATGCAAACTATCCCAGATAAATATTTAACCAACTACTCTTAAGAACCTTCAAAATGAATTATTTGGCAAACCTCTGACAGGAAATACTTCTGTATAAAAACCAGAAACGGACTAGAAAAAACAGTATTTTACAGCAAGAGCAACTCTACAAGTAGACAACCGTCTAAACTTCTGAGCCAGCTACTAAAGCCAGCAACTGTTCTCTTTGTTTAGCTCATTTTGACAGCCAGCAGGTTAGGAATATAGGCCTACTAGTACTGCCTCCTGGCATCTATCAGAATACTTCCAACTCCTAATCATCTCAAGGAAAGAGGCAAAATGGAGACCCTTAATAAAGAATGTTTGCCAATGAGAGAAAGCAAACAAGCAGTTGAAGTACAATGAGAAGAATCAAAATTTACCTGGTAGAGAACTGTAGTTTCTTCCAAGAGGCACATATAGCTTTAATCTTTTTAAACTTGCTTTTATTTTAGAGCAACACATATTCTAGTGAGGAGAAAAAGAAACATGATATTAATTTTATTTTAGCATGACTTATTTGAATACTTTTAACCTAACTACGCTTTGTCAGAGAAAATACTTTTAATCTCCTTAAAATAGTTCCCATTTATTAACTCCAGTTCCTTTAAAAAGTGACAACCCAAAATTATACTATAGGAAAAAACAAAAATAAAACTAATACTGACATGCTATTCTGAGCTGTTCTTAGAAGATGGTTCTCTAAGATCTGCAGCATTACCAACAGAGGGAACACAAATTCTCTGGACCTACTTCAGATAAGAGAATCAGAAACTCTGGGGAGAGGCAGACAATCTGTGGGGTTTTTTTTAAACTGAAGTATAATTAACATAGTGTTACATTAGTTTCAAGTACTGAACAAGCTGTGGTTCAACAAGCCCTCCAGGTGATTTTTTTTTTTTTTTTTAAGATTTATTTGAGAGAGAGAGAGAGAGAGCTGTGTGGAGGGGGAGAGAGTCCTAAGCAGACTGCACTGAGTGCAGAGCCTGATGTAGGGCTCGATCTCACAACTCTGAGATCAGGACCTGAGCAGAAACCAAGAGACCGATGCTCAACAAACTATGCCACCCAGGTGCCCCAACCTCCAGGTGATTCTGATAGCTATAGTTTGAAAATCAGGACCTGAAGTTTCCAGAGAGCCTTAAAAGTTAAATGAGGTCTCCTACCCTGGCTACTCCTTGATTCTCCTCTACAGGTGCTAAGAGCTGGTAGGGGTCATGGAACTCAGAATTTATAAAAGTGGCTATGCTAGCTACGCATTAGAATCACCTGAAAAACTTTAAAAACATCTGAGGGGGAGGAAGTTGGGAGAAGTAGGACTGGCATTCTTAAAAATTCCTGAGGTATCTTCTCCCAAACTCTGTGTTTCCACACAGAGGTTGAATATTCCCCATCCTGATTTATCCCCAGACCACTAGATACACATTTAATGACTGCCAATACATTTAGAATCGTTACACTTAGTCTATGTAATAATTCTGGGCTGCCACAATCTGCCTTTTATGATATCTTGGGATGCATGCCTGTGTCTTCTATATTCCCTGTGCATTAGTTACCAAGTTTTTGGCAATAAAACACTATTATCCTAAGAAAATATTTCAAGAGTAGAGACTCAAAACTATTTAAACTTCCACTGCATAATGACCAGGGCAAGACAGTAGCTACCTGTCACAGGTGTGCAGTCTAAAAGCATCAGCAATGAAAACACTAAAGAAAACCTGTGTAACTCCTTAGGGTGCTAATGACCTCAAAATGGAATATACAAATGGACAGTCTTTAAAACACTGCACAGGGAATTTTAAAGTAGCAAAATGAATTTCAGACTAGTGATAAGGCCTGCTGCTTCTTAATTATAGTTTCTCCCACACTCCCTACTAAGAAAAACTGATGAAGATAAAGATATACTAGTTTAAGAGTATACTAGGCCTTTCGGGAAGTAAAGTAACTGAAGTTGCTGAAGTACATTTAATTTTACAAGAAAAGCTTACATTAATGTGCAGGATGGGTATTTTCTTATGATTTACTCCAAACTTCCCCAAGTTGGAAAACATGTTGACCCTCTAAACTGTTATTCTCTGAAAAAGAAATATACAAAATTTTAAAACTAAGTTTATGTAGTATATATCAGTAAGACATGTAAAATAAGGCATATGTAATATGTATGGTAAAAATGTATTACATTTTAAAAGTAGGTACAGTATTTTTAGGTATCAAAAACTCAATGCATCATTCAGAAAATGAAAATTCTGACAAAATATAAGAAATATGGTTCTTAAAGCTAAAATGTTCTTTATTTTTTCAACATGCTTTAATTCTTCAAGATATGAACATACTGTGGAAAAAGACAGATTACAAAAATATATCGCAGCAATTACAATGTATTTATGTAATTATACAAAATTTAGTATAGAAAGGTAAGCATCTACATGTTAACTTGGTAATTTTTCATCAGTAGTGTAACTTATTGGTTTATCTGTATATTCTGATTTTTCTACCATAAATAGGTAGAAAAATACACAAAAGCAGGTCCTCTTCTGTGATTATAAAAACTAAGTATCTCTGGTTTAAAACATTTACTGAATATGAACTACGTTGCAAGTACACTATCAAAGCTATGAGACATTCACAGAAGCATCTGAGACTGGGTAGGGAGCAGAGAGCAGGGAGACATTGTGTGCCTTGTTATATAAGAAGTCATGTCAAAACTCATTACTTTGGGGCACCTGGCTGGCTCAGTAGACGGAGTGTGCAACTCTTGATTCAGGGTTGTGAGTCTGAGCTCCACACTGGGTGTGGAGATTGCTTAAAAAATAAATAAAATAATAATAAATAAAATGGGATCATGACCCAAGCCAAAGGCAGCCGTTCAACCAACTGAGCCACCCAGGCACCCAGTCATCCACAATTTTCTGTAAAGACTATTAAAATACTCAATACCTTTCCCAACCACCTATATGACCTATGTATATGAGGCTGGATTTTCTTCAGATGGTTCAACCAAAAATAAAAATCCTACATACACAGTAACAAATACAGAAAGTGATAGGAGATGCCAGCGTTTTTGCTTATGCCCAGCATTAGACTTGCAAAACTGTAAGGCAAGGTAGAATATTCCTCAAACTAAATTATTTTTGTTTTGTAAAATAAAAGGCATTTCTCATAAAACTCTATTACTTACATTAAGATTTACTGGATTTATTAAGTTTAAGTGAATTACTAAAATATTTTAATTTCTAATAGCTGAATATGAATTATAACCTACATAAACAAAACTCTTTGGAGTTCTAAATCATTTTTAAGAGTGTGAACGGTTGCTATAGACTAAATTTTGAAAACTTATTCCAACACCCTATTTCCCCAAGTAAATGCTCATGATTATTTTAGGTTATAGAAAGAAAAAAAAAATGGTTTACTAAATATTAGAAAAATTAGCCAACAGAATCCATCTTGTATATACTAATGCTTAAGAAGTTAAACTTTTTTACTTAAAATTTGAATTTGAGGAAAATTAAGTAAATAATAACACAGGTGACATTCAGATATGACCAGTCTTAAAAAGTAGTATTCAAATCACTCAAGTGAGAGATATTGCTTTCATCCATTATTTACACATATCCTTCAAAGAACTTCCTCTCATCACTTACCTACTCAAAAACATTTAAAGGTTTTTAATACAACAAAATCTGTCCCCAACTACCTTCACGGCCTTGTAGTCTCCTATTCCCTACTCTATACCAGGGAGCTCTAGCCAAAATTCCCCAGAAACGTCATACTCTGGCACCTTCACACTTTTGTGTGTAATGTTGCCACTGCCTGAAAGCAATCCTAGAATCCTCAAGACTCCATTCTTGGTCAATTTCCATTCGATCTTCATGCCCCAAATTGAAAGCTTTTCCTAATTTCCTAGAAAATTTTAATACTGTCTTCCCTATGTTTCCATAACACTTGGAACTTGTATTTACTCATGACAAATACGGTATTTACAAGCTCTCTCCATTACTGTGAGCTCTCCAAAAGGAGGGATATTCTACCAGCACTGCCCAGCACAATGCTTCATTTTTTTACCTATTAAGTCGATTAGGATCCTCCAGTGATGAAGAATTTTCTTCTTTCCCATGGGTCAATGATTTTCTTTTATTTTCTTTCTTTCTTTATTTATTTGACAGAGAGAGACACAGCGAGAGAGGGGAACACAAGCAGGGGAAGTGGGAGAGGGAGAAGCAGGCTTCCCGCTGAGCAGGGAGCCCGATGCGGGGCTCGATCCCAGGACCCTGGGATCATGACCTGAGCCGAAGGCAGACGCTTAACGACTAAGCCACCCAGGCGCCCCTGATCAATGATTTTCAACAAAAATGGCTGCCTACTACAGGTGCTATCAGGTGAGTTATTCTCTAAGGCCCAAACCTACTTAAGGCCTTGGAGAACAAAGTGTTCACTAAAAGTTGTAATACGTAACGGTACAAGAGCAATAATGAGGAAGAAAAATGAGTAAATACCCATTCTACATTATTGGCAACAAGCTACACTACCAATAAACAAAAAGAATCCATGGATTATTATTTTTTTAAATCAGTAGAGTATCATGCCTGTAAGTCCTAATATACAAAAAGAGAAATCATGGGGCCACCTGGGTGGCTCAGTCGGTTAAGCATCTGCCTTTGGCTCAGGTCATGATCCCAGGGTCCTGGGATCAAGGCCTTCATTGGGCTCCCTGCTCAGCGGGGAGTCTGCTTCTCCCTCTTCCTCTGCCCCTCCTCCTGCTCGTGCTCTTGCTCACTCTCTGTCTCTCAAATAAAGAAAATCTTAAAGAGAGAGAGAGAGAAATCATGGACCACTAAAGAACAATCACAGGGCACCTGGGTGGCTCAGTTGGCTAGACGTCTGCCTTCACGATCCCAGGGTCCTAGGATCAACCCCCGACATTGGGCTCTCTGCTCAGCCTGCCACTCCCCGACTGTTCTCCCATTCTCTGTCAAATAAATAAAATCTTAAAAAAAAAAAAAGAACAATCATAAAATACACCACTCTGCAAGCAAACCTGAAGGTGATGTTGCTGAGAATCAAGTAATATACGAAAGGAAATCCTAAAGCATCAAGTTGTTCTGTTTGCAGATGGTATTTATTACTGTACTTAATAATTTCTCCCAAATTAGAAACTTCATTTCACATTTGTGTTATAGCCAGTGTTTTTTAGAAAAATATCACATATGAATTAGGCCAATATGTTTATTATTAATGTCAATCCCTAAAATCATCTTTGATTTTTTCTATGTTCAATAGATCTCATGCTATCAATCTAAACACTTGTTTTTCCTACAAAATTTATTTCTAGCACAAGTTCTAAAACCATCTGAAGTTATGTACATTTTATCTAAATTTAAAAAATCAGTTGTAGCCTTTAACTTCATTCAAGAAAAAAGTTTACCAAATTAACTTTTACTTGCTAAAAAACAGCCTAAATAAAGATACTTTTATATTTAGGTCAACTATACTGATAAAGCACTTTCCAATTCCCTTGTTCATTTAACATTTATTGGAGCAACACAAGAAGTTGGTTATTAGAAATATAAAAGTGAATAGCACATGATCCCCAACCTCAAGAAAAATGTTAGCTTTAAAATTTCTAGCCTGTCTCCTGCATATTACTCTAGCAAACATTTCAATCATACTCTGTTTTACAAAGCTCTTACACTTGTTCCTCTTCTTTAACGTAAATAAGCTTGACTTTTTAACCATACACAATTTATAAAGCAGCTCTCACATCCTCCTGACTTCTCACTTATAATCTCACCTATAGCAATAAATACTATCTAAAGTTTAATCCAATCAGAGAAATGTATTTTCATGCTTCTCACTGCCAAAATGCAAAAAGTGGGTATCCACTATATCCTTTTGGTAGATAAATAACAAAGAAGTGATGATATCCAAATTGGCTACTGCCAGGTATATTGGAAGTAAATTTTTCTAAGAAAGTTTTGCTGACATTGAACTGCTTAGGCCATTTTTAGCCTGCAATCACAGCTGAAAGTAAGAACAAATGATAAACAACATAGTCAACCACTTTGCCTCCTCTATTTTACACAAATCAAAATGTGACCACTACTTAACCTTTAAGAACTTACTTGTTTTCTATTCCTGGTTCAGAAGGCAAAAAGGACATGAGTGGCTTTGAGAATCATAAATGAAAAAACATATTGATGAGTTCACAACTTAAACCTACTAAAAATTTCCATAAGCTGAAAGAACTACAACAGGAAGCAATAAGGATAAATCTCACAATGTTATGCAAAAGAAACCAACACAAAAGAGTTCATACTGTATGATTCCAATAATATAAAGTATAAAATGGGCAAAACTAATCCATCCTGTTACAAGTCAGGATAGTATTTACACTTGAGAGTGGCAGTGCCTGAAAAGAGGCCTAGGGAAGGCTTCTGGGGTGCAGGTTAATGTAATTTCCTGATTCAGGTGCTGCTTACTGGGTGTGGTCAGAGTTTGAAAACCCACTGAAGCATCTATCTACAATATGCATTGTTTGCGTGTATCTTACACTTCAATAAAAACTTTTTAAATCTTTCCACAAACTTCTCATTGTAATAGAAATGTCAAGTGGGCAAAGACCTGAATAGTTTCCAGAAGACTTGCTAGAGTCCCAAGTCTTCTGTGATCTTGGATAAATCACTTAAAATCTCTGAACCTTTCTTTCCATCTATCACATTACCGGATCAGTATGAGAATTAAGTTCATATACTCCACAAGAATTTATTGTTATTGTGTCTACCACTGCCTCCTAGTAAATGGGTTAAAAGTAGTGAACAAAAAACATCCTTGCACTCATACCGTCTCTATCCTGGTCACTAGATAGATAATAAACAAAAGGAATAAATAAAATACTTAGCATCTCCTACGGTGACACGTGCTGTAGAGAAGAATTACGCAGGAAAGGGAACTGGGCAGTAACTGTAAGCAAAGTCATTTAAGCAAGTGACATTTAAATGACAGTTAAAGAGGTCAAGTAGGTGTAGGAAGCAAAACCTGGGGGAAGCGTACTCTAGGAAGAGCGATTACGTAATTTATTGCACCTGAAAATGCCGGGGGAGCATTAGGGTTTTTAATCACATTAGAAGATGGAGCCTTGAAAAACCTCAAACCCCAAACCCACCTTAGTGCCTCAACTCCACGAACGAAGACTTAGGAAGATGATTAAGGCCTTCGGGAGGCCCTTTCGTCCTCCTCTGTGGCTGGCTGTTGCCTCCCTAAAGGGGGCACGGTACTCGGCGCGCCGCAGGGTCACAAGCACTAGGCAGTGGCACCGCGCGGTCCGGTACCCACCTGGCACTAGGTCGCATACTGGAGGCCGGCTTTTTCCTGCCGGGTGTTGAGAGCCGCAAGTCCAGGCTGCGCCAAAGTCCGCAAGTCCTCCCGTCACTACACACTACCTCGGCGAACGCCCTGGTAACTCCGGGAAGGAACTTAGAGCCTTCTCACCCACCTCCTCCCGCCGCCGCACTTCGCCACTTCCGGCGGTGCAACACGCAAATGCCGCCCGCCAGCAATTTCCGCCCCTCCAGCTAAACGTGAAGAACAGAGGTTCGGAACCGATGTGTCGCGCTTTCTCCAGAGTCGGTCGTTTTAGGACTCTCTCTCCCGTCGTGGCTTGCGTGGACTCAGTTCGCGGGTCTGGGAGACCCGAAAATTGAGAGCTTCTTCGCTCCCCGGCAGCTGCACCCGACGGCTCTGCGGCCGTCACCATGGTGAGGAGGTAGTTTGGGAGCACTCTCATCGTAGGGTTTCAGAGTTGGTGGGGCCTGGGGGCCCTGGGGCTGGAGGCGAGGGGTGGTAGGCGGAAGGGAGGAATGAGGGCCGGCTCGGTTGAGAGAAAAAAAAATGCATTTGGTGGACACAGATTGGGGTATTTGCCAGAGTACAAGCTTTAGAGCGAGATAGGGTTTACTCTGTTAAATTCCTGGCTTAGCCACGTGTTGTGTATTGTCAGTGCCAGAGCCTAGCAATAACCCTATACTGTAGGCATTATTTCCGCTGCCACTTCGTTTTATTGCTGAGGAAACTCAAGGCAGGCCCGGCCACGGGCCAAGCAGCTAATGAATTGCGGAGACAGGCTTAAAGCACAGATCTGACTGCCGCATCCTTTCTCTTTCTATGTCTCTTCATTTTTCCTCTGCAAAATGGCATTCCACGTGCCTTCCTCATGGTTTCTGCAAAGTTTATTGTACTAGCAGTTAAAAACACCACACCTGATACATAGTACCTGGTTGATTGTTACTTGGCATTCTCTGTGCTGGAGTTGACTTTGTATCATTATTTTATTTTTGCAGTCTTAAAATACAAACGGACTGTGGCCACATGTTTAAAATGAAACAAAAGTGGCCTATAAAATAAAAAACAGGTACCGAAAAAGCAAAAAGGGATCCCATACATTGCTGGTAAAATGCAAAATAGTACAGCCACTTGTGAAAACAGTTCGGCATGTGGCCACACAGAAGACTTCTGTGCCAGTGTTTATTTGCTAAAAATGGGAAACAACCCAAATATCCATGAACCGGTCAAAGGATGAATGGTGGTATATTTATACATGGAATACTACTTGGCAATAACAAGGATTGAAGTACTGACATGTGACAATGTGGGGGAATCTCAAAAGCGTTAAGTGAAAGAAGCTAGACACAAAAGGCTACATACTGTAGATACTATAAGCTTCTTCACAATGAAAAAGGGAAAACGAGTGATAGATAACAGATTGGAGGTGGAAAAAAGGACTGTCTTCAGAGCAATACAAGGGTATTTTCTGAGGTGATGGAAGTATTCTCTATCTTAATTGCGGTGGTTACAAAACTGTGTAGTTTGTCAGAACATAAAACTGTACACCCATACCTAAAAAGGGCACATTTCATATGTAAATTGTACTTCAATAAAACTTAGAGTTTAATAAAAAGTATGAATGATGATGATGATGTTGAAAAACCAGATTACTGATGTTCAGGAAAAAAGATCCTGGAATGAGGTCATACTTTTTGTGGTCCAGTGGATTTGGGGCAGTTCCCTTCAATGAACAGTAACTTTCACTGAGATTATTACAGATATAAATCCTGATGCCTCATACCATTCAGGATCAAAATGTATTTAACTCATATCATGCAAATAGGCTTAATAACGCAAGAGTTATTTAAGCAAGTAAACATTTGGTTGACATAAGGTCTTCTGTACTTTATAGTACTCAAAGTTTTTTAGCATAATTCTGTTAATTTTTAAAATTAATGATTCTTGCATTGTAGCCACAAAATGAATATATTGAGTTACACCGGAAGCGATATGGCTATCGTTTGGATTACCATGAGAAAAAAAGAAAGAAAGAAGGTCGAGAGGCTCATGAACGTTCAAAGAAGGCAAAAAAGATGATTGGTCTGAAAGCTAAGCTCTACCATAAACAGCGCCATGCTGAGAAAATACAAATGAAAAAGACGTAAGTGATGATGTCTTCATTGTAACAAGTTAACATCTTTTGAGTGATAATTTTTAAAGCTGATAATCTTGAATCTTCCTTCTTGGTAGTATCAAGATGCATGAAAAGAGAAACACCAAACAAAAGAATGATGAAAAGACTCCACAAGGAGCAGTACCTGCATATCTACTGGACAGAGAGGGACAGTCCCGAGCTAAAGTACTTTCCAATATGATTAAACAAAAACGAAAAGAGAAAGCGGTAAGAAATAAAAATTGAAGTCTTTATTTTTTGTTCGGAAGAATTACTTAATATTAGCCTTTTTCTTCAGTTTAATTGGAAACATGAAGTCCAGCTACTATTCCCATTATTTAGATATCAAAGTCTTTGTAAAGTTCATTTTGTATTAAATATTTAAGTAATAAAACATTTACTTTCTCATCATAAGAACATGTTAGCATTTAACAGGTTTTTAAAAAGTTATTAGAATACCACACATCTTTAGTGTAAAAAAAGTACTTAAATTAGTAAGGCATGAATCTCAAATTCAGTATTTAACAGCTTCCTATACTTGACACTTCCTAATGCTCTGCTCTTGTGGAGAAAGATAAAACTGCTTGTTTTTGCTGCCCTGTATTGCTAACATTGCTAAAAAGTAGAATAGTGGAAAACTCTCTAACTGATCTGACTTAAACAAAAACTCAACATTTTTTTTTTAATACTACTGGATTATGCTTGGTGTCAAATTAGGTTAAAGCCTGCTAAAAACAGAAAAAGACATAGATACTATTTTTAAACATCTATGGATAAATTGACAGAAATCCAGATAGCAACAGAAGTGTTCAGTCTCCAAATTTGATTTTAAAAAACACACTCCTGGGGCGCCTGGGTGGCTCAGTCGTTAAGCTTCTGCCTTCGGCTCAGGTCATGATCCCAGGGTCCTGGGATTGAGCCCCGCATCGGGCTCCCTGCTCTTCGGGGAGCCTGCTTCTCCCTCTCCCACTCCCCCTGCTTGTGTTCCCTCTCTCGCTGTGTCTCTGTCAAAAAATAAAAAATCTTTAATAAGAAAAAACACACTGCTTGGGGTGCCTGGGTGGCTCAGTTGGTTAAAGGTCTCCCTTCGGCTCAGGTCATGATCCCAGGGTCCTGGGATCGAGCCCCACAGGGGGCTCCCTGCTCAGTGGGGAGTCTGCTTCTCCCTCTACTCCCCACTCACTTTCTCTGTCTCTCTCTCTCAAATAAATAAAATCTTTAAAAAACACAACAAAACAAACCACACTGCTTATATTTTGGTGTGTACTGTTTAAAATTAGAATGGTATAACTTGAGCACCCAAAGAAATTTTAGAGATTATCTACTTAACCCATCCTCATTTTACAGATAAAACGACTGAAGTTCAGGAGGTTGTAAATCACTCTTCATTGTCATTATCTATTGAGTGGTAGAATTGCTTCTAGAATCTGTCTTAATAATCACATACTTTCTACTACCTTGTATTCCTTCAATTTTTCATAGAATTTTCATTCTGCAGAGGTTCAAAATACGTGATGATGATTTTGTCCTACTAGTAATGTAGTCTAAAAGTCCACTCGACGGGGGCGCCTGGGTGGCTCAGTTGGTTAAGCGACTGCCTTCGGCTCAGGTCATGATCCTGGAGTCCCGGGATCAAGTCCCACATCGGGCTTCCTGCTCGGCAGGGAGTCTGCTTCTCCCTCTGACCCTCTTCCCTCTCGTGCTTTCTATCTCTCATTCTCTCTCTCAAATAAATAAATAAAATCTTAAAAAAAAAAAATAAAAGTCCACTCGACGTAGATAGATAAATTAAGAGGTGGAGACAGTCTTCCAGTTTTACACTATTCACTATTTAGTAGTAAGTAGAAATCACTGCCTTATTACAGGTGGAACATTTTTCGTCCATAACAAGGCATTGAGGTTTTTAGCTTATGCAAACCATTTTACTTATTTATTTAAGATTTTACTTAATTGACAGCACAAGCAAGGGGAGGGGCAGACGGAGAGGGAGAAGCAGACTCCCTGCTGAGTAGGGAGCCTGATGTGGGGCTCGATCCCAGGATCCCGGGATCATGACCTGAGCCACCCAGGTGCCCCACAAACCATTTTATTTAATGTATCCATGATAATAAATTTAATTCCAATTAATTTGGGGCTTTTGAGGAGACAGTGCAGACTTCTGGAAAACATGGGAGCCAAAATCTTGTTGCTTTAGGAAAAAGGTGAATCCACTACTTTGTACAGCTAAAACATACTTAATTTTTATCCTCATTGCCTTTTACTAACATTATAAATTTTAACTATGGTCTATTTTTAGGGAAAATGGGAAGTTCCTTTACCCAAAGTCCGTGCCCAGGGAGAAACAGAAGTATTAAAAGTGATTCGAACAGGAAAGAGAAAGAAGAAAGCATGGAAGAGGATGGTCACTAAAGTCTGCTTTGTTGGGGACGGCTTTACTCGAAAACCACCTAAATATGAAAGATTCATTAGACCAATGGTAAGTCCCTTGCAAGAGTGGGATGGATTAAATGTTAGTTGCTACGTTAGATTGGAGAGAGTATAGAGTACAGTTTCCTGAAATTCCTAAAATTGGTATGAAAAGAGATTGAAGGACATTTTTAGGCTTTTTTTTTTTTTTTTAAGTTATTGATAGAGATGGCTTAGTTTTTCACTACTGTTAAGAATCTTGCTTTGGCCTCATAAGAGACAGGAGATGAAAATAATTCTTACTACAGACAGTGTCTGTGAATCCTGATTTTTAAATATATGTCGTATTAGAATCTTTGTTTTCCACATGAAGTTCTCTTACTCATTCAACAAGTAACCTATGTGCCTGACACTTGTTCTCTTTGAGAACAGTTAGAAAACTTGAGTAGGACTGTTTTTTCAAGAAGCAATTCCCATTTAGTAAGAAAATTATCTTACTGCTTTTGAAAACATTATGTACTCACTGAAAAAAGAATTTACTATAAAAGTAGAACTTTAATTTCTATAGACAACCGGGATGGTTAAAACCATTCTCCTGCCCAT